AAAAAGAAAATGAAAAAAGGCAGAATAGGAAAAGGTGTGAGGGACACACGGATACACATTGCTAAAAATCTACAATGGTTTGTCCTAACAAAAATAATATTTTTTTCTCTTCTCTTAATTATCATCATGGATCCGTCTATTATTGGGGTTTGAGTACAGAAAATTCAACTGGGGCCAGAAATGGAGGTTGCAACCCCAAGAATGGCTGGGGTGAAAAACGTGACCACAGAGAGCCCTGGACCTCTTTCTGGGGACATTGGAGGCCACAAAATCTTCTGGGTCACTATTGCAAACACAATTGCACTGAGTTTTTGATTGTATTGACAACTTGGCTGCTCTCCCCAGTTAGGGGCACCCCCAGTGGGTAGCCTCCGGAGATCTCCAGAAGTGAACAGAAGAGCCTACAGCCCACCAACACTGAAAAAGGCCAATGGTTTAGGCCGGCAAAAAGCCCAGAACAGGGGACAGGGGCCTGGTAGGAATGAATGATAGTTCTTTGCAAATAGAGTTATTATTATTGTTATTATTTTTAAGGGCAGGCTTGTACCAGAACTGCCCAGTAAGGTCTGACTTCTGCGCAGCAATTGTTTCTCCAGGGACAGAACCTGGAGCTCCCTCACAGTGATGCAAAAAAAATGGGATTCTGTCCCCCACCTCCCCAATTCAGAAATTTCCCAAGCCACACAGCCCTCGGTCCTCTCCACCAGCCCAGAGGAAGGGTGTCAGGACCAAATTGATCAAAGCGAGGCCAAAGTCATTCAGAAAAAGGCCTGCTTCCAAGAGAGGAGGAGAGAGAGCATTGCAGGGAGGGGAGGGGAGATAGGGGCAGGTAAGGAGATGAGAATTTTTAGGTAAGGAGGCTAATTTTATAGCCTCTTCACAAAAAAATAAATGTCTTTCCAACTACATCCCTTGGTCTGTACCCTTCAAGGTCCTATTGTCACCTCCTCAGTGGTCTCACCAGGGTCAGGAGCCTCACTGATGTCTTTCAGGTGATTTCCTTAATATGCAGAAGTGTCTAGAGGTACAGAGTGGAGAACTGGCTCAGGTCACACAGCACTAAAATGGCAGAGCAGCCGGGGTTTCCAAGGCCAGGTGGCCTCGTGAGGGCCTGGAGTTCAGCAGTGGGGACAGAGCCGTCCACACAGCGGAGTGAGGCAGTGACTGAACCAGTCCAGTCCAACTGGGTTACTCAGCTTTAATGTGGTTCTTGTCAAACCCGCATGGCCCAACGTCGCTGTGCTCATGGATCAAGGATACTGAGGGGCCGTCTAATCTCTCTATTTTAAGGAGCCTAGGACACAGGGCTCCTGACAGGAGGGCCCACAGGTTGAGGGGAGAGCTCCTGGGCAAGAGACTCCAGTGCAGTAAGCTCCGTCCCGTACAGTGGAACAAGTGCCCCTCAAAACTATGAGGAAAGTGGCAGCTGCTGGAATAAGGAGGGGTTATCTGCCTGAGACAAGCAGGTCAGATGAACCTCTTTCATTCCAAGCAAGCCATTTGTAGAGCACAGCTAGCACTGCTTCCATCCTCGGCATCTTTCCTTTTTGACCTTCTTAGTGTTTGCTTCACACAGACTTTGTGACTGAATTTTAAGGGGCTCAGTGTTTAGAATGTAGGTTGGCAAGACCACAGTTCACCAAGAACCTCTTCAAGATCCAGAATTCCTCTCAAAACTGTTGTATCCCTCTTCCCTCCACCAGCTCCCTTTCCGACCTGCTCCTTCAGAGGCATCAGCTGTGCTCACTCCTTGCCCAAGACACCTTTGATTTCAGGCTTCCCCTTGCTCTGGAAGTGTGGTGAGCTGACCCTGGGCCAGGGGAATGCTCCTGAGGACCAGCGTGGAGGATGGATGCTCCCATTATTCCCCAGGGAGGATACTGCCTGAAATCTTGACACACAGCAGATAAACCTCACTATCGCCCTGCCCTGCCTGAGGACACCTTTGCAAAACTCATAGAACTCTGAGTGGAGAGCAGCACAGATAACCCAAAGGCCAAAGGATAACACCAAAGTGGTTTCTCTCTGAGGTTCAGGGTCTCCTTTTTGCTGCTGTTTGTGATCAGGGGGTTTCTGGTGGAAATTAATTCACAATGCTTCAGACACAATACTGAAGCCTGCGGCCTATGGTGCAAGCTTCTAAGAGGTGGACCTCTCAGCTTCCCATCCCTTATCTGTTCCCAGCTCCTGGGCAGGGACGGCAGCACCCCCACCCCCTGAGGAATACAACAGAAGCAGAATTTTAGGTTTTTGCAATCCTTCTCCCTCATTTTATGGGCCAGAAAATTGGGGCCAATGAACGTATACATTGGTCCAAGGTCACTCAGTAAATGGCAGTTTCAGAACTGGGTCCCACGTCTCCTGGCCCCTAGCTCTTTCGTGTCAAACAAGGTCAAAGGAGATCAGGATTCACAAGGTGACCACACTGACCAGTGCTGAGGCACGGTGCTAGAGGATTCTCCAGCCTTAGCAACAAAGGCCCGTGATCAAAGGCACCTGCCATCCCCCAGAAAATCTATCCCATTTGGCCTGACAAGCAGATCCCATCTCAAATTCTGATTAGACCAGAATGTAAGTTGCTGGAGGGCAGACAATGCCTTGATTTCAGATGTTCACCCGCGCCGTGTGCAGTGTCTGCTTGATACCCAGAAGGCTCCAGCTCATGTGAAGGGACAAAGAACAGTGAAGTAGCTCTGTGTCAGGCTTCAGAAAGCTAAGCTTTCTTTCTCAACCAGCCTCTCTGTGGAATTAGCTGAGTTAACTAGTGACCTTAGGCCCCTCTCCCTTCTCCCTCTTTCCAACAGAAGGAGTCCAAGACTTAAACCCCAAAGAAGGAACTAAAAGAATCTGGCCAGACCCAAAACAAAAACGGATGTTTTTGGAATATTCGTGTTTAAAAAGCCACTATCTTTAGACTTTAACTGTTTGGATTTTGCATGGCTTATGGTTTCTGTGAAAATAATCAAAATTTGCGTGGATTTGTCTGTGCACAAACCTGCATCCTTAGCATACCTTCCTACTGAGCTCACATAAAAGGGCTCTGCAGGAAGGTGTCTGCTTCCAGGGGTGGGTATAAAGCCCCAGGTAGGGCCCACTCCACGGGAATCCCCTAGACAAAATGGAGGACGAAGAGGCAGCCGTTGAGGCTGGAACTGGAACTACTTTCCCCTTGGGTATTATCTGGTCCTAAGCAGGGAGTGGCTGCCCGGGAATGTCACCCCACAGACCCATCTGTAAGGGTGTTGATGGCCCGTGGCTGATGAGCATGTAACTCATTAAAGTGAACACGACTAATGAATGGTGACCACCGAGAAAGGGCAAGGTGCATTCTGGGAGTTGCACCAGAGGCCCCACCTCCCCTCCCGCTTGCCGCAGAGTCGGGGAAAAGGTGGAGTCCAGACACTTATTCTTGGGACGAGGAGGCTGGGGCGGGGGACAGGTTCTCTTTGGAGCTCCTGTTCTCTTTGGTCAGAGGTGGAGGCTGAGAAACAGCCGTGTGGAATGTGTGTGTGGGTGGTAGTGTACAAGGGGCGGAGGGGGAGAAAGCATGGGCGGTGGGATGCCTGCAGTGCCCTCCTGCGCCACCTTCTCCCGTCAGGACAAGTTCTCCATCAGGGGCCATTTCCAGGCCCCTCACCCGTTTCTCCTCAACACTGTAAAACCTGACAGTGTGTCCGAGGCTCACGAGTCCCCACTCCCTACACAGCCGCCCACACAGGTTAACCAAAGCTTTGGCCATCAACCAAAGCTGGACACTCAAGGCACTGGAAGTGGAAGAAGAAATCTGATTGGCCCAAGAAAGGAAAAAAAAAAAAAAAAAAAACCACACTTAAAAATAAGAAAACCTGTCGAGAGAGACCCTCTCATGCCCCTTGGAAGGTGGCCTCTCCAACCAGCTTGTGGGCTTTGGGGTAGGGCAGCAGGTCTGCGAGCCAGGCCCCCCTCCCCTAACTCCGTCAGAGCCCACTTCCATGACAGGTCTCACCACCTGAATGTACAAAAATGGATTCAAAGTGCTTGGAGATTGAAAGAGTAATGGAAGGTGTTAGGAACCTGGTGGAGAAGAGGTGCTTCCTTTCCTTTCCACTGGGACTTGTATTTGGGTGGGGAAATCCCTACAGCTTTTCTTTCCAAATGAGGTTTTCATTGTTTTTTGTTGTCTTTGAAAAATAGCCTATAGCACCCCACCTCCATCCCCCACTCCCAGGCAGGCTCAAAAGTGAAAGCCGGAAGTGGGGCAGGCTGGGGAGACCGGGGCTTGGGCGGGCCCCCTCTAGTGTTGGTTTGGGGAACTGCTATGTAGCGCACAGCAGTCTTGCTGGTGAATCAGGACATGGTTCCTGACCCTTCCTTTCTCCACCAGGAAACCCTCCCTATCTGCCTGGTCCAGCATCCAGGAGAAGGAAAGAGGGAAGCGCTCCTGGGGACACCTGGATCCCTCTGCAGGACAGCAGACAGATGTCCACAGTGGACAGCCAGGATGACTGGTATTTTGATCCCAGCACTATGAAGGCTGGATTTGAACTCAGTACCAGGGCTGATCTGCAGCAGAGCTAAAATAAATCCAAGGTCCCTTTTGTAATCCCCTGAGGAGGGAGAGATGCACCCAGAGCATGAGCGCAGACCACAGAGGGGTTGGCTGGGCTATCCTGTTTTCTATTTACTTTGCCACAGCCACCCACAGCCCACACTTCATGTCCTTTAGGCCAAAGGCTGCCCTTCCTTACATAACCCCACTCCACTTATGGGAGATCAGAGGGGTGGGATAGAAAGGGGTTGTTACAAACTACCCCCTCTGTTCTCCCCAAGCCCCACTTTCCCTGTCCCCCATGCTGGGACCAGGCAAGAATACAGGTCAAGAGAGACACACCCTCCCGAAGAAGAGGGAAGGGCAGGCCCAGGAGGCGGGGCATGCACGGAGCACCATCCTCGGGACGGGGTGTTTCTGGGAGACCTGCTCCCCACCTGCCACGGTGGGAGGAGGAAGGCTGGTCCGAGACGGGAGCAACAAGCAATGCCCCTGAATATCAGGGAACCGCTGTGAGAGCCTTCTCCTCTGCCCCGCAGAGACGCCCAGCCCGGCTCAGCCCCTACACGTGAGTCTGCATGCGCTGCTGGAAGCGCTGGCCGTAGTCTGAATGCTGGGAGGTGTAGGAGAACCGAGTGGCCGTGGCGTACTTGCCAATGGGGTCATACGCCTCATATGGGGTCCGCTCCAGGCCAGAGGGTGGGGCCTGGGGGTAGCCCAGTCGGTAGGTGGGGTACCCAGCTGCCCCGGGGAAGGGATGAGAATTGAATTTCTCATAGTTCTCGTAGGACAGCTGGCTGGCGGTGTCAGTGCCAGCAGGGGCGGCAGGACCAGAGGGCGTGGACTCAGCGACATAGTCGGAGGCTGGGGCCCGGCTGTAGGTGTTGAGCTGGGCGTAGCCACTGGAGTGGGAGAGACGGGAGGAGGGGCGGCCATCGAAGCGGGTAGTGGGGCCAGCGGCCCGGTAGTCGGCGTAGAGCATGGTCCTGGAAGACGGACGGTCTTCGTGGGCGCGCACGTTGTAGTAGCCATTGGTGGGGTCCTGGGGCAATGAGAGAAGAGGAGGGAGGAGGGAGTTCCCTGCAGGGGACGGTCAAGCTTCACCAGGGCCCTCTGGGCCTCCTCCTGATTCTGCCCTGTGTTGGCCAGGCAGAACCACTCCACCTGCTCTGTTTATTCACTTAAACTCCTAAAGCTCTTCCCCAAACCTGCCCTCACCTCCACCCGGCAGGCCCTGAGACCCCACCTTCCCACCCAGCCCTTGTGCCCTGGCCCCTTGCTCTTCTCCCACCTTCATCTCATACTCTTCCCGGGTGTCGATGGTGTCACAGCGCAGGTCCTGCTTCAGATCCACATCATCCTTAAAGGACTGGAGAGCAGCAGGAATGGGGTCAGAGTGGAGGCCCTGCTCCTGTCCCCCCTTGCCAGACCCCCCTCCAGAGGCCACCTACTAACTGTAGGGTCTGGAGTCATGGCCCACTGGACCTCTGACCCTCTCTGGCAGGCACCTGGGTTCTAGCATCAACTGTGTTGCTAACATGCAGTGTGGCCTTGGGCATGTCACTCACTGTCCCTCTCTGGGGCTGTTTCCTCATCTGGGCAATGAGGCAGTTGGACCAGAATACTAAGGATTTCCTGTTCTGACACTTGGTGCAGGAAGAATGGGGTGAAGGAAGCCTGCTGAGAAGCCCAGCTGCCCATCCTGTGTTGGAGGGCAGTTAGCCTGGGGTGTGTGTGTGTGTGTGCAGGTGTGTGTGTGTATGCAGGTGTCTGTGTGTGTATGCATGTGTGTCATGACCAGGGGATGCAGATGGAGAGAGAAGACAATGATGGTGGTTATTAGAGAGCTGGGGTGGAGCCGGTCCCCAAAGTGTAACGAGGGGAGTCTGCCAGGCAGGAGCAGGACCCTCACCGAGTAGATGGCCTTCATGACCCGGGTGGCGGTGGAGACACTGGCAGTGTCGTCCTCTCGGTCAGAGTGCATCGTGAGTGGCTCACGGTTCACCGTCTCCACTTTGATGTCTAGCTTCCTGAGGGTCACATCCTTGCGACCTAAAATAGGGAGAGGCAGCCTGGACCACAGGCCTTCTGCCAGCCTTGCAGTGGCTGCTCCTGGACCCACCAGCTGGGGAGCTCAACTGCCAACCCCCCACCCATCCCAGGCACTGCCGTTTGGTGTCCTGGAGGTGGCCCATCTGACAGGGACCCGTTGTCTGGGAAGGGGCAAGGGAGGGCTGTGGCCTGCACAGGGCCCGTACTCACTGCCTTTTCGGCGCCGGTAGAGGAAGAACACCAAAGCAATGAAGAAGAAGATGAGCAGGATGCCCGCGCCAATGGTGGCCCCAGCGATGATGCCCACGGGCAACACCTCTTCAGAGGGGGAAGAAAGGGAACAGAAGTCAGGCTGGAGTCTTACTGGGGTCACAGTGGGGTCTAAGCTCAGTGTTGGCTGAAGGTTAGGCCAGGAACTGCATTGGCAACACTGTATTGTGTCAAATGGGTAAGTTTTGACTGAGTTTATGGTGGACAGTGTTGAATTTAAGTCAAGGTTGGATATGAGAAGAAGGTCTGAATTGAGGTTGGAATTAGGCCTGAGCTTTAGCTTAAATCAATTGAGGTCATGATCAGCTGTGGCCTAGCTCATGTCTCATCCCTGCAGCTGGGCATCAGTTTGACCTTGGCCTTGGTTGTCCATCTGTCCCTCTCCTCCAGGCCATCTGCTTACGAAGCTTGCTTCCTCCTTCCTAGGCTGGGATCTTGCTTGAGGTCAGTCACCTCCAAACTCTCTAATCTGCACTCCCATCTCTTCCACCATCTTCCTGCATGAGCCTGTGACTACTGCATCCACACTTATCCACCCAAGGCTCTAAACAGTTCTCCTGAGTTCCCCTGTTCCCCAGAGCTAAGAAGGAAACCAGGAACCCTATCTCCAGCTTTCCCTCTCTCCCTGGCAGCCCTAGTTCTCCCCAAATCCTGCTTAAGCTTCTTCCCCTCCAGAAAGGTTTTCCTACTAAGTTGCACCTTAACTCTACTCACTCTTTTCTTCCCCACACCCTCACTGGCTTCTTCAGCTATGACTGGACTGAGAGATTCCCATCAGTCATTTTCCATGAGGTGTGCCATCTCCCGTGTCGGGTGGCTGGTTTTCCAAAAAAAAAAAAAGCTATCTTTCCCTCATCAGACTTTGGAGCTTTGAAAAGCCAAAGGCAAGGCCCCCTTCCCCATGCTAGAAGTGCCATACAGGCTCATGTGTCTCTCCTATCAGACTGTGGATGCTTTAGGAGGCAGGGGATCAAAACTTACTGAGCACCTACTAGCCAGGCATTTTATAGACATTCCCCCTTTTAGTCTTCCAACAACCCATCGAGATAGGTAGTCTTCCTCCCTTTTACAGATCATTTGATTTTTCTCTATCTGAGTTTATTTACTACCACTCCATAAGTCCTTCCACTAAACTGAAAGTTCCTTGAGGACAGGGATTGTGTCTTGTTCACACCTGTCGCTGCAGTCCCCAGCGCAGTGCCTGGCACATAGCAAATGCTCGGTAAATGTACAAAAAAGTGAGCAAATTTCCCCAGCTGAGCACCGAGGTCAGGTTCTGGTGGGGAGGCCCAGGAGACCATTCTTTCCCTCTGAGCCCAGCCCACAGCTGGCCCCACAACTAACCTGCCTGGCTGACTCTGGAGACCCATCTGCAGATTCTTATTATGGGTAGGAACCAGAGAGAAGTATCCCCTAGGGCTTAACTCCTACCCTCAGGGAGAAGAGGGAGCAGAATGCCCAGGCTGCTCTGCCCTCAGGCTGGGAGCCAGCACTGCCAGTCACCTCGTTCTTCCAGCTGGATGATAGCTGTGCCCGGCCCGAAGCTGTTCCAGGCAGTGCAGTTGTAGTGAGTCTGGAAGTCGGCCTCCATGACATTGTTGATGGTTAGCGTGGACAGCACCCCACTGCCCGAGTTGGTCCTCTCCACCGTATAGCGTTCCAGGGTCCCCACCTCCAGGAAGTTCTCCTTCCATGCCCAGGCCTGTGGTGGGGAAGGCAGAAAGGGAGTAAGGAAGGGGTAGGTGGCAGAAACACACACCTGGGTGTCACCTGGTCCCTCCTCAATGCATCCCTGTGTGCCAGGGGTGCCCCTAAGCCCAGTCCAGCACTCACCCTGTAACAAACCTGGAGTCACATCTACTGCCTCAGGCCCCTGGCATTAAATCTCCACTCTAGGAAAAGCAGCTGTTCCCAAACATGGCTGAGCATCAGATTTATCTAGGGAGTCTTTAAAAGGCAGATTCTTGGGGCTTGACTCCTAAATATGAATCTCTAGGGGAAAGGCCCAGGAATCTCTATTTTTATCAAGATGCCCATGTGAGTGGATGCAGCTGATCCAATGGACCAACCTTTGGGAACCCCTGATGTCACAGAAGTCCTGGACTGGGCGTTAAGAACACTGGCTCTACCATCGAGTCCCTGTGTGATCTCCCTTTCCCTCTCTGGGCCTCAGTTTCTTCACCTGTAAAATGAGAAGACCAGGCTAGAGCTAGATAATGCTCAAGGTTTCTTCCAGTTCGGATAGTCTGAGATTCTAACTAAACATAACTTAGTCTTAATTCTAACTCTACCTTTAACCAACCTGCAGCTGGCCCCACAACTAATCCGCCTGGCTGGTTCTGGAGTCCCATCCACAGACTCTTATAATGGGTGGGAACCAGAGCAAAGTATCCCCTAGACCCCCAGCCCTGGACTCCCTGCCTGGGCATCCCCCCTTCATGTCTCCCACTTCAGAGGGGAGGCCGGGAGGGGGAGCAGCGAGACCTGGCTTCTGTCCAGGGATCAATCCTCTCAGATCTGCTAGAAAAGCCTCCTGGGGCCGAGCCTCCCGCTGCCTGGGTGGCTGTGGTAATGAAGTGTCCCTGCGCAGTCCTGGAGTTAGCCAAATGGTCATTAAATGTGATGAGGGGTTTGACGGTTAATGGTCATGGAAGGAATTAATGGCTCATGGTATGAGGGAGAGGAGAAAGAAGGAAGGCGAGTGGGCCAGTGGGCGGAGGGAAGCAGAGAAGAGGGGGAACAGTGGGGCAGGGGAGGAAGGGGGGCAGGTGAAGGGAAGAAGAGGGCACAGGGAAAGGTCAGGAGGCTGAATGAAAGAACATATGATAAGGGAAAGAGAGAGCAAGAGTGTTAGCCAAGAGAGATGGGAATGATGAGTTGAATGCCAGGTTCATTTCACACCTGTTGGTACCGTTACTTCACACGGCAACCCTGTTAAAAGAAAATTGCCATGGAGTCGATTCCGACTCGTGGGGACCCCATGTGTGTCAGAGTAGAGCTGTGCTCCATAGGGTTTTCAATGGCTGATTGTTCAGAAGTAGATCACCAGGACTTTCTTCTGAGGTGCCTTTGGGTGGACTTGAACCTCCAACTTTTCAGTTGGCAGCTGAGCCTGTTAACCATTTGCCCCCGTTTCATGGATGAGGCAACTGAGGTTTAAAAACCTAAATAATTTGCTCAGGGTCACAGAGCCAGTAAAGGAGGAAGTGAGATTTGAGCAGGGAAAGGGATTCCAGTTGCCATCAAGTCAGTTCCGACTCAAGACGACCCCATGTGTGCAGAGTAGAACTGTGCTCCATAGCGTTTTCAAGGCTGCAACCTTTTGGAAGCAGATTGCCAGGCCTTTCTTCTGAGGTGCCAACCTTTTGGTTAGTAGCTGAGTGCTTAACTGTTTGCACCACCCAGGGACTCCAGGGAAAGGGATAGAGGGACAGAAAGGTGGCGGATTAGAAGTATATGACAGGGAAAGGTGGTTGTAGAAGCAAAGGCAGAGGAGGCAAGAGGGGGCTGGGCAGGGCAAGCTGGCTGTCCTCAACACTCACAATGCGATCTGGGGGTGGTGTGCTCCCAATGAAACACTCCACCTTGCCTCCGTCCCCCCTAACTGCATACTGCACCGCCTCACTGGAGATAATGGGGGGTCCTGCAAGCAAGAAGATGGAGTTAGAGCCAGTTAGAAACTGCAGGGCTTGTCCGCCTGGTCCCCGCCCCCTCCCAGGCCACTCACCATTCACGTACAGCGGCACCTCCCGTTCAGCCACTCCAATCCGAGGCACGATGGCCCGGCAGGTGTAGGTGCCGGCATCTGCCTGGGTCACGGACTTCAACAGCAGCTGGTTGCTGTTACTCAGGACCTGGGCAGAGAGAGCAGCCTCGGGTGGGGAGCCAGGAGGCCTGGGCCCCTAGGTCCATGTGGGCCCCACATCGGAGGCATTGGAAAGAAAGCAGGAAGGGCCACAAGTGAATTCCCAGAAGGGAGATGGGGTTCCCGAATCCGCCTGGCCCAGCCCCTGACTCTAACAACACACTGTCTCTGCAAGAGTGAGCAGAGACCGGAAGGAGGCCCGAGAAGGCAGGCTGTAAGGAGAACTCAGCCCCTTCTGATAATCTGTTCTAATGTTTTTGTTGCCAAATGAGGTAGGAAGTTTTGCTCTGAAATCCCCCTTGTTGCAATTTTGGCCCGAACTGTTTGATGCGGGTTTCTGTAGAATGAAACCTTCTCTAGTGAATCATTCCAGATTCCTCCACTTTCCCACTCAGCATTCATTTACCAGACGTGTTACCGTTGTGCCGGCGCCCCCTCAGGCCCTCTTCCCTCCTCCCACCCTCCCTCCCACACGTGGGTCATCTCGTCTCTCCCGCTGCATCTTCACTGGCCAGTTGTCCTGGGTGGAGGGACCCTAGAGCTAGGCCAGGTTTAAGCTAGGAAAAGAATGCTGAGCATCCCCTTGTCCCCTTGACCCCACCTAAGGCCACGCTTCATCCCCTTAGCATTCAGGATAGGCAGCAAGAAGTCTTACCATGTTTGAGTCCTTTTTGGTCCAGGTGAGGGTGAGGGGGGGATTCCCAACCCAGACACAGGTGAGGGTCACATCAGAGCCTATGTCTGTGGTCGTAGGTTTGGGGTCAACTACAATCCGGGGGGCAACTGAGGTAGAAGGAGGCAGCTCGTTAGGGTCTCAATCTCATCGAGGGTCAGCTCTAATCAGTCCTCTCTTCCCTCTCCTCTGTGCCACGTCCCCATTTCTAGTCCCCAGTCTCCTCCAGCTTCATGGACCTTCCCCCACTCCACCCCAGGCCCTTTAAAGGCCCCTGCTCTCTGTCGCCCATCCCTGCCCTTCTGACTACTCACAGTGGACATTCACTAAAGTGCTGACATTGGTGCTTCCCACTTTGTTGTGGACCTCACAGGACACAGGCTCCGTGAAGAAGGAATAGTCGACATTTGTCTCATAGCGACTCTCATGGGCGTCTTCAATCAAGAAACCCCCCTTGGCCCACCTGGGGGAGGTAGCACAAAGCTGGGATCAGGGCTTGGACCCTACTCAACTCCATCTGGTGCCACTGGCCTCCCCCAGCACCCCCTTCCACTCCTGGCCTCCAGGGCCTTGCTGATATCGCTCCTCAAGGGCTCCCAGCCCCCAAGCCTTCACCTGTAGCCCAGGATCTCGGGGTTGGCTGTGGCCTGGCATGTGAAGATGACACGCTCGCCCTCCTGTACCGTCTGTGGCTCAATGGACAGGGTTACCGTAGGAGGATCTATAAGGTATGGGACAGAAATCAGGGTCTTTTCTGCCTTGAGTTTCTTTGTCCCTCCCTAGCACATACACTCAGAACTCACCACCCTGGGGGTGATCTGGGAATTTGTGTTTCCAGTACCAGCTCCAGTAAATAAACTGCCTTCCTCACCTCTTCCCCAAGGGGCTCCTAGCGGGCCAGCTAGGGTGTTGACCAAGGACAGTACTGAAGGTATTCAATGGAGGTAATTACCCACTGAGGCCACTAGGCGTCAGTGTGGGCTCGCTTGACTCACTGAAAGATGGGAGGGGCATCCCTCAATTGCTGTCCACACACCCAACATTCCTTCCAAAAAAACCCAAACCCATTGCTGTCCAGTCGATTCTGACTCATAGTGACCCCATAGGACGGAGTAGAACTGTCCCATAGGATTTCCAAGGAGCAGCTGGTGGATTTGAACTGCCAACCTTTTGGTTAGCAGCCTGGGCTCTTAACCACTGTGCCGCCAGCGGGAATTTATTGAGCACCTACCAGGTAGCGGACTCCGTGCCAGATACTCTTACACTATGTATCATTTAATGCTCCAACCCTGGGAAGCAGGTAAACCGAACCAAACCTGCCGCCTTTGAGTCTATTCCAACTCATAGTGACCCTATAGGACAGTGTAGAACTGCCCCACAGGGTTTCTGAGGCTGTAAATCTTTACGGAAGCAGACTGCCACATCTTCTACCACAGAGCAGCTGGTGGGTTCGAACTGCCGACCTTTCAGTTAGCAGCCGAGCTCTCTAACCACTGCACCACCAGGGTGCCTCAGAAGCAAGTAAAGGTCCACATTCCCTTTTCTGAAACCTTTGGGGGCCAGCATTTTGAAACTTTTAAATTTTAGAAAGGCAATGCTGTGCAGAGACCATCCTATGGAAGACCCCCAGCAGCGTCTGGGTAATACCCACCATCACACAAGTTACTGCATCTGCAGTGAAACGCTTAAGTGGATAAATAAAAACTGCGAAGAGCTTCAGTTTAGATTTTGCCACCAAATCACTTTTCGTTTGGAAGTGCAGGTAAGGGATTGTGGGACTGCATTTTATTCTCTGAAAGTAAACAGAACTGGAAACTGAGGTAAGAATACGTGCATTGCAGCGGTGCCCCTTCTCCCAGCCCTGTGTCCATGGTTCACGAGAGGGCAAATGGGGCATTTTCCTGGAGCCTCTGGGGGATTCTTAGACTTTCCTGCTTCTCAGATGGTTGCCCACCTTCCCCTCCCCACTCTGCCCTCTCCAGGGTGCTCCTCCCCGGGACCCTGCTCACGGTGCACGTCGAGCTCGATAGAGGTCTCCTTGCCACTCGGGATAGCCTCGTTCACGCTGCGGCAGGTGAAGACACGCCCGATGTCCAGGTCTGTGGGGTTAATGAGCAGCTGGCTAATGGTGGTCTCCCTCTTCCCATCCTTCAGCAATTCCTGGGGCGGAACAATGGTGGGAGGCACGGTCAAGCTAGAAGCCCCCTCCTCCGTTCTCAAGGTGAGCCGACTCAGAGATGGGCTTGGGCTGCAGGGGTCCTTTAACCTGAAGCTCAGTCCCTTCCCTACCCCCAGCCTCCTCCCTGGGGCTTTGAGCCTCATTCCGGGAATTCTCTGAGTCTGGCTCAAGTCCCTCCTCTTCTGGAAAGTCTTCCTTGGCTAACCCAGCCCTCAAGACTCTTTCCTCACTGGAACTTCTGCCCTTTGCAGTCGCTCTGCCCCACACAGTGCTCTAGGCACATCCAGCCCTACCTCATAGGCACCCGTGTGTTTGAGTGCCGGGTCTCCCCTGCTAACCTGTATACTCCTTGAGGGCAGGGAGGGGACTCACAGGCTTAAAGTCTCATACTGACTCAGTTGCACCTAGCCTGGGTTTCCCAAATATGGACAAAGGTGCCCTCCAGCTGTTTTTCATACTGTGAAATGCCAAGGGAAACCATTTATTAACCAGAGTAAGGCCTTCATAGTTTGATAGCAATGCACCATCTTTCCTTGGCTGAAACAGGACCAAAAAAAAAAAACCAAACCCGTTGCCATCGAGTTGATTCCCACTCATAGTGAACCTACAGGACAAAGTAGAACTGCCCCATAGTTTCCAAGAGGCAGCTGGTGGATTCGAACCGCCAACCTTTTGGTTAGCAGCAGAGCTCTGAATCACTGCACCACCAAGGCTCTGAACAGGTCGGGTCCAGGGCAGTAACAGAAGCTCCAGAATGTCTTTGATTAACATAAAAAACTGGGGGAGGGGGCCGACAAATGGCCATTAAGAAACCAGCTGGTTTGATTACCCAGTTTGGAAACATGCATCAAGGCTCAGAGAGAAGTGTTGGCTAAGGACACACAGCGCGTTAGCGGCGGACCCAAAACCAGAATGCAGGTACTCCCTGGGGCCGCCCTCTGCAGAACACAGATCCCACGGTGGGAAGTATATCCCACAGCACCTAGCAAAGCACTGGGTGTGCATGTATGTTTGCCAATGGCTGGCAGAAGGAGCCCCAGATAGAAGATGTGGAATCTAATCCCAACATCATCAACAACTTTGCCATGTGATCCTGGGCAAGTCACTTGATGTCTCTCTGCCAGAGCTTCTTGCCTATAAAAACCCAAAAAAAACCAAACCCATTGCTGTCAAGTCAATTCCAACTCTAGTGACCCTACAGGACAGAGTAGAGCTGCCCCATGTGGTTTCCAAAGAGAGCCTGGTAGATTTGAATTGCCGACGTTTTGGTTAGCAGCTGTAGCTCTTAACCACCAGGCCACCAGTGTTTCCTTGCCTGTAAAGGTACATAATAATCCCTGCCTCACCAGCTCTTATTGTGAAGACTGGGATAGCCTGCCACCTAGAGGCTAAAGGAAGGAGGTAGAGGTGCTCAGTGGAGACAGCACAGGCCAACCCAGGTACAAATCCCAGCTCTGCCTCTTGCCAGCTGTGTGACCTGGGGCAAGTCACTCAACTTCTCTGGAGTTTCTCCTTCTGTGAAATAGAAATAATGCCTATTTTGTGGGCCTGCTGTGAAGATTAAGAGTTACTGTCCATAAAGTGCTTAGCCCAGTGCTTGGCACACAGTTGGTGCTTAATAAATGTCAGGTGTTATTACTATATCTATTGTTATTAGTCACCCAGCTACTGAATAGTACCATGAACCTGGGAATTCACTTCCCTTCTCTGGGCCTCGGTTTTCCCAATTGTACAGTGAGAGGGTTGGACCAGGTGGTCTCTAAGGCCCCATCTCACATCTGCGTCCCGGAGTCTGTGGTTGAGTCCATGTGTGAAAGGAACAGGGACCTGGGTGGAGGCCCACGAGGAGCTGGGGAACAGGCAGGTCTCACCGTGCTGGCCACAGCGCCCTCTTGCTGTGTCCCGTCCCGGAACCAGATGATGGTGGCAGCAGGCTTGGCATTGAAGGCTCGACAAGTAAGGTTGTGGGGGATGCCTGCCTGCAGCAGAATCACAGGGCCTCCATCAATCCTGGTGTCCTCTGGGGGGACTGTGGGGCAGAGCAGAGCACAGTCAGCCCAGGGTGCAGCCAACAGCGCCCTGATGACCCAGCCCCCTGGCCCCTGGTGACATGCCACCCCTGCCACCTAACTCACAATCACTGTATCCATTGCTCCCATGCCAGCTTCATCCAAGGCCCTCAGCCCTCAACGTGCACAGCTTTCCAGTCCCCCTACAAGTTACTCTTTCCCAGCTTGTACCATTTGCTTGTACCACTGCCCTCTAACCCTTGCACCAAGCTACATGCTACAGATGGGGGCAGTGTCTTCAAATTTAGGAAGATGCTGGGCTGTCTCAGGGTTGGAGTCTAGTTCATACCCTGTGGGCGTGGCACAGAGAGGTGGCTATCCCATGGGCTTCTAACATCTGTCCCCTCCTGTCTGCTCCTCTGCCCTCGGGCAGCCAGGTGAGCTGGCCTATTATAGCAGCCTCCTCCCAAAGGGACTGCTTGCCTCCATTGGGTTGGTGTCACTGCCTGGACTAGAGCTAGCAGGGGCTCAGACTCCTGGCTGCCTAACTGTCCTGTGAATCCCTGGCTCCTCTGCCTTGCTTGCTGGTGTACTGGTGCCATATGGGTGTAGGTTTGCAGGTGGGGATTGGAAGTAGCTTGAGAAGTAGAGAAAAGTGGAGGAGGGCTGCTAGGCAGGCCTCCCGGGTCTGTCTGGGCCCATCAAGGCCACGCCTGACTGCTCACCCCCAGCAGTAGGGTCCTGGATGAGCACAGGAGGGAGATGCCAAGTCCAGGGTGAGGAGCCCTCCGGTGGGGGCAGAAGAGGGAGGGAAAGCCTCTCCTCCCATCAGCTCTCCCTTCCCCTTGTAAAGTTGGGCCTTTCCCTCTAGTCCAGGGAAAGATGGCCCATCTAACACCTCTCGTACCAGCCTGTCTCTCTAGAATTTTCCAAAACCTTCTGCTCGCCCTCCACGAGCCCATCACAGCCCCCATATCTTCAGCCAAGGAAAATGAAGCGTAAGCAGTTAGAAGGCATGTATCCGTGTGTGTGTTTATGAACAAGTGTTTATTTCTATGACTTAAATTTGTATATCAGGATGTGTCTAGGGCGCAGTGGTTAAGAGCTCGGCTGCTAACCAAAAGGTCAGTAGTTCAAACCCACCAGCCACTCCTTGGAAACAGTTCTACTCTGTCCTACAGGGTCGCTATGAGTTGGAATTGACTCGACGGCAGTGGGTTTGGTTTTTTTTGTTTTATGTATGTGCATTTATGGCCTTAGTTTCCTTGTTTATAAAACTGCAAAAATAACATTGGCTCCTACTCCCCAGAGTTGTTATTATGAAGGTGAAATAAGATCACGGACGTGAAACCAACTGAGAGCTGTAATGTGATCAACAATCATTTCTAGCACTCACTGAATGCTTACCATGTATCAGCTAACGCACCCTGTGTATATGATTTCATTTAATCCTCACCGCAAAGTATATTTCATTAATCCTCTCACGGTAAATATCATTAGCCCCAATTTACAGATAAGGAACTGAGGCTCAGAGAGTTACGCAAATGTGCTCAGAGACGTAGAGAGTTAAATGGTGGGGCTGGGATCTGGGATCCCTAAGCCCATGCTCATCACTGCTGCACTCGAGCTGTTACCACTGTGAATAATGAGGTGTGTGTGGGCATGGAGATCTATACTGTGTTGGCATCTGCATCTGAGTGGGAGTGGGAGGCTTCTTCTCAGAGCCCTGCCATAAGGAAGAAGGAAAGAGGCCATTCTGTGGAGAAGGCTGGCCCAGGGAAGTACGGGATGACTGAGGGGCATGGCAGGGGATGAGGGGGAGCTTCTGAGGCTGGCATTGTGCAGAAAGGCTGGCACCAGGTCACTCTTCAGTTCTGCCCTGCCCAGTCCTGGACCCCAGGCTGCTGTGGATAGATTGTGGGTGAGCAGGAGGCAGGAGGGGGTATAGGAAATATCTGCCTTCTTGTTGTTGTTGCCACGTGACAGCCGATGAGCTTGGCGGCTCCTGTGGCTACCTGGGCCCTCAGGAGAGACAAGGGGGGAAAGGAGTGAGGGGAGTGCAGGGAGGAGCTGCACTAGCCATCCCTGCCTCCCTCTCAGCTCCCTCACTCTTGGGGCCTCCCCTGTTCCTCGAATCCATCCAAGTCCCCCAGACAGGCTAGGAAAGCCCACACCCTCAACACCCACCATGCCATCCAAAGGAGCCAGTCAGCTCCCCAGCTTATGCGGCTCTCCCCCACTGACCTACAAGCCTTATAACAAGGCACTCCCCCTTCTAGGTGCCCATCCATATTCTCCTCTTTCAGGAAGCCTTCCTTGATTGAACCAAGCCACTGGATGCTTTTATATGTCCTTGTTCCCTCAACACCTAGGAGCTTAGGTGTCTTTCTTCATCTCTCTAACTTGGTGCTGGGGTGGGTGAGAGAAGTGAGCAGTACCAGGGGCCCCTCACTAGCATGGGAGTTCTCCAGGGCAGAAGGGCCCAAAACAGAGGCACTTAGGGAGGACAAAAGAAGGGAGGAATTCTCCCGAGAAGCTCCTGATTCCCCTTGGAATTCTGGTCCATTGTGGGAGGTCACATGCTCCAATGAGAGGTGAAAGGTGACCCTGGCGGTCATCAAATTCTTGCTCTCTAACCTCAGTCCCACTCCTGGCTATTCTTCCCGTATCTGTCCTCACTAGCTAGAGAGAAAAAGCCTGCGATCCTAATCCTTCTGGGCCTTTACATCCAAGGCAATCAGTTGCTGGGTCCCTCTACCAACAAACCAAACCTGTTGCCTTCGAGTCGATTCCAACTCATAGCGACCCTATTAGACAGAGTAGAACTGCCCCATGGGGTTTCCAGGGAACGCCTGGTGGATTCGAACTGCTGGTCTTTTGGTTAGCAGCTGCAGCCACCAGAGTTTTCTGGGTCCCTCTAGTCCTCACTTATTCAGACAACTCACATGTGCCCAGACCTTCCCAGCTTACAGCTCCACGCGGAGCCAGCAGCAAAGCAGCAGTGGCTAAGAAAAGGCCACCATCATTACACCATTGTTACCAATAAGGACACCGATGCCCTGAGGCTGTGACCTTTTCAGGGTTGTGCTGCCAAATGGCTGAGGTGTACCTGGAGCCCAGGCCTCCTGACTCCCAGGCCAGGGCCGTTCCTGCCACCTTGTCACGTGTCCTCCCTCTCAGCTCCCTCCCAAACTTCCTAGTCTCCAGGCTCACTCTTCTCAGCTCCTCTCGCCTTCCTCCCATCCGTCCTGGCGTCTTCCCCCTTTCAGGGATTTCAGGTTAGAGGGAGGGAACCCAGAGGGAGCCAGGCAGATCAGAGAGAGGCAGGAAAGAAGAAAGAGTCAGTGACAAAGGGGACAGAGAAGTTGTAGGCAGGAGAAACCAAGCTGGAGACAGAAAGCACCACACAGAGAGAGGCAGCAGAACTCGAGGGAGACAGAAAGGCTGAGGGAGCCTCAGGTAGAGCAAGAGAGAGAGGGAGAGGGAGCTGAATGGCAGAGAGGGGCGAGGGGCCGGTGGGAGCTGGCCTCCTTTCTGCCCTGTGTGGAGGAGAGAGTGCTCTCATTATGCAGATGGCCCCGGGTGTTACCACAGAGGGACATCTGCTCTGTCCCCCCCGAACCTCCTGTGGGTGGTGGGTGGCTGCCGGGAGCATAGCTTCCAAGAGACGTGGCCCATCCAGGCACAGCGGAGACCCCAGCCTGCACGCTCCCCAGTTCTCAACCTCCAAGGCCCATTCCTTCCGTTCTGACTGCCCTGTTCCCTGAGGGGGCCTCGAGGTGAGTCTGAGGAGGAGGGGTGAGCTCTAAGAGAGAAAAGGAGGCAACTGTGGGGAGAAGAACTGGGCAAGGCAGGGGTGAGGACGAGAAGGAGCAATGGGGGCAGTTTCTGGGGCTCTGGGGCAGCTGAGACGGGGGAAGATGGGAGACACTCCCTCACCAACAAACCTGTCTGCCAGGAGAGGCTGAGAGAGGGAGGGGCCCGGGGCCTTGCCCACCTTGTGTGTGGGGGTCTTCATCTCCACAGCTTTGTGTCTAGAAAGCAAACAGCTCTGCGAATGAGCCGCCTGGGCATGGGCAGGAGCAAAGATGCAGCCCCACACAGCCCACCTGTCCCGCCATCCCCTCCTTGCTCTCTTCTGTCTGGACCTGGCATCTGAAGAAGCTGAGAGAAGGAGTTGAAGAAGAAAAGGCAGAGAGATAGTGGGGACGGTGGAGACAAGAAGGAAGCCAGGAGCACAGAGGGAATTGGCGAGGTGCAGGAAACGCCAAGACACCAACAGAAAAAGAGGGAGGTGGGAGGGCTGGGGTCCTGGAGGGGGTTGGGGTTATTACTGAGCACGGTGAGCTTGGCCCGCCGGGATCGCAGGGCGGCCTCTGTGGCCTGGCACTCGTAAGAGGCGTCGTCTGAGAGCTCGGCGTCTGTGATCTCTAGGTTGTGCTGTCCGGCGTCAGCAGAGCCCACCACCCTGTACCGCGGCCAGGCTGCAGGAACAGAGAGTGAGGCCAGAGTAAGGCCCAGCAGGGGCGACCTGGTCGTGAACCAGCCCGCCCCCCGGGGCTCATCCTCTCCCCACCCCTCATCCCCACAGCAGGGTCCACATCGGGTTCCATGCCGGCCCTCCTCCCTCTGCCCTCTCCTGGGACACCAGGGGCCGGGGGACAGGCCCCAGACACAGACACTGTGACGTCACAACCCCTTCCCCAACCAGTAAAGCAGGAGGAGCGGACGGGAGGGGCTGTGAGGGAGGGAAAGAATCTTCCGAAGCTGTTTGCAGACAAAATGTCTCTCATAATAATAGGAAAGAAAGGGGAACAAAAAGGCAGAGTCGGGAGAGGGGAGGGAGAGCATGTGGGTACTAGGAAACACGGGGCACCCAGCAGGGACAGGCGCTCCCAGGCACACCTCTGTGGGGCTGGGGCAGAGAAAAGCCCCAAGGCAGGCGGGAGGTCTACCTTGCTCCCCAGTCACCAGCAGGGGTGGGGGGGATGGATGAGGCAGAGCCCCTGAGCCTGGAGTCCAGGTTCCCTGCAGAGAGAGACTGAGGGCCTCAGAGCCTTGGACCTCTCCAATCTCGGCTTTCTTCTTTCTTCCCCCTTCCTTCCTCCAGGCTCTCGTTACCACACCCCGACTCCCCTGCCCTCCTCTCTCACGTCCCCACCATCAGCTCCCTCCCATTATCTCCCTCTGTCCAGAGGCTATTGATTCTTCTCACTCCGTATCTATTGATCTCTTTCGCTCTCAGTTTTTCTCCTTCTATCATCAACAGATCCACCGGACCCAACCGTTTCCCGGATACAGATTGCTCTACACAGACAAATTTCAGCTACCTGGACTAATAGCCAGAACCCACAGCAAATCGGTTCAACCCCCTAAAAAATAAGAATAATAATTAAAAAAAAAAAAAACATATCCCTTCATATACTTACATATTGCAATGCTTTGCAGTTAACAAAGTGCTCTCACAAAGCATATTCTCAGTTGGTTCAAAACTCACAAACTCACTCTAAGGCAGGCAGCCCAGGGACTATTACGCCTGTTTTACACGTGAGTAAATGGAGGCGCAGAGAGGGGGCATGGCTGCCTAAGGTCACCCATCTGGTAGGTGGCGGGGGCAGGCCTGGAACCCAGGTCCTGATTCCTCTTCCACTCTGCTAGGCAGCCTTGCCAAACGCATCTTGACTTGTTTTGGCATATAGGAGCTTGGTGTTTTGTTTTATTTATTTTGATACTGACTCATTATGTTTGCCTCAACACAGACTACACAGTCAGTGCTTAATAAAGGCTTGTTGAATGAATAAATAAATAAGTGCTCAGGCTGATATTAAAACGAGTTTTTGGCCTCTGAGCAGACATGGCCCCGGCACGGGGAGGAGAGGCACAAGGCCAGCCTGGCATGCAATACTTTTGGGGTCCTTGTCCAAAGTTGTCTGTGCTCCCCTCTTCCCCCTCAGGAAACTACGCTGTCTCCTAGCACCTCTCTGGGTGTCTGTCTATCTGTCTCGAGCTCTGTTACATAAAGGTCTCTTGATTTGCTAGATCTCTCAGGCTTCACGTTGCCTTTCTTGAGCTAATCTGCAGTCTGGAGGAAGCAGAGTTTGGGGTTTGGAAAGTGGGAGAGGCCGAGCTCAGGAGGAGAGGAAGAGAGATGACCCCACACACATGGGAGGTGGGGGACAGCATCAACAAGACTAGAGCACAGAGAAGAACATAGTGGGGAAGCTGAGTGACGGTGCAGCCAGGGGTCTCTTTTGGGGGTGGGCGGTAGGACAAAGGGCTGGCTGGGCGCCCTGCTCACCTTTGAGGCCCTGGCCCATGCCCAGGGCCAGCCCGTCCTTGGTCCATTGCACGATCCCTGAGTAGTTGAGCAGCACGCAGGGGAGCACGGCCCGCTGTCCGGCCACCACGGTCTGGTCGGCTGGCTCCTGGCTGAAGCGCGTCTGGGTCCCTGGTACAACCAAAGGCAGCACTGGGTGAGCAGAGGGGCCCCACCCTCCCAGTCTCCCACTCCCACCCTGCAATAGGCCTGAGGGAGTGAGCTAAGGCTGGACAGGTGGGCTGTCCCATCCACTTCAGCCCCATCCCTTTCCCTTTAGGGTGTGGTGGCTTGCCCTTTATTCCTTCTCCCTCCATGGCCCACGGGAATGGGGTTCCGGAACTGAAGAGCTCAGAAATCATAGAAAGTGATGCAGATGTGTAAGGGCCCTAGAGATGAATCTTGTCCAGCTTCCTCATCTTACAGACGAGGATGCTGAGGCCCGGGAGATGCGTACCTTACAAGGGCACCCAGTGCGCTGAGAGCAGAGTTGGGATTAGAACCCAGGTATCCCCAACACCCAGTCCTGGGATGTGCCACTAGGACCAGCTGCCTCACCCCCACACCCATGTCGATGGGTAACGCATACATAGCCAAGGATGACAAGTGCCCCAAAGGTTGCTGGCTGTGTCACAGTCCCCCGCAATCCTTGGGACTCAGGCCCATACACACGAATATACCACCTGACCCCTATCAGAACGTGTCATACGAGCCAGTGTGAGCTAACACACGTGCCGTGCTGCCCCAGTGAGGGCATCAGGGTAGGTTCTTTGGGGGAAGGCTTGTCATGATCTGTGTGCTCACATGTTCACATGTGTGTAAATAAGCTCCCTCAATGAGTGCCCAAACCAAGCAGCTCTGAACACACTTCTTGGCACAATCTGTGTGTCTACCTCCTGCTCCCAAGCGCTGGGGCATGAGTGTGCACCCAGGGACACGCCTGTCCACGCCGTGGGAGCTGCGGGGCAATGGCATGACTTCTGTCCCATTCTCCCTCCGGCTGTGGGAGCTCCACTTGGCTGCCTGGCTGGCAGCTCAGCAGAGAGCGTTTGATTAGAGAACTGCAGAGTAATTGCCGTTAATTGTGGAGCCTAAAAGGAGCAGGGAATTGGATTGCGGGTTTCTTCTCCCCCACTGCTCCCACTCACCCGCTCCCCTCAGCACTGGGGGTGCCTGGTGGTGGGGCAGGCCTGGGCCCTGAGCAGGGTACCGGGCAGCTACCGGAGCTGTGAGCAGCAGCTTCCTTTGCCAGGCTGTTGGGTGGCGGGAGAGGAAGTGGAGCGGTTGGGGACACCAAGGGGAAAGGTCAGGGTCTTCCTTGCTGCGCCTGCGATCTGTCACCCCACAGTAACCAAAATCAGACCGTCCCTGGGGACTCCCCCTCTCCTTTTCCTCCCCAGCTCCCAAGTGTTTGCAGAGGCCACAATCCCCAAATCCAATCCTTTCCAAACCCAGCTTTCCATAATTTCTCTAATCTGCTATCACTCCTTCTACATGTAAATGTTAACTCATTCCTCTCCATTCCAAGACCGCCTCACCCTCCAAGCCACCCCAGAGGCGGGACCCTAGTCTCATCACCTCCCTTCTCCTTTTCTGTCCTCCAGACCTGTTTCTCCCTGCCTTCCCAAGCCTGCCCCACATTCCCCTTACAGGAAGTCCTCCTGGACTGATCCCTTAGCTCCTTGGGCAAACACAGCGCATCCCATCCCTCAGCTCTAGCCACTCGATTTCCTGTCTCAGGCTATCAGGGTCTATGCCCATGTTGTTGCTTTTTTAATCACAGGATAAAGGGCAGCTGTGGGCGGGGGCGTTTGCTTTATCTGTTCCACCAGAATGAGAACCTCTTCTCTAAGGTTGGGCAACATGTCCACCCCTCTCTCTGCATCTCCCTCGACATCTGACGTCCACATTGGTTATTGCACATAAAGGGGGCTGAGACAGTAGCGGGGGGGTGGGTGGGTGGGGGCAGGTGGGAGAGGACTGATGGACTGAATATAAGTTAATACAATGAGGCAGCCGCTTACTCTTTGTGAAGTGTGCAAATCCAGCTCTTTGGGTTTGCAGGGGGGCAGGAAGTTAGAAACAGTGCACCTCTCCACACCCCAACTCTGCTGACCTGACTTTCTGTCCCCAGCTTCTAAAGAAAGAAGGAAGGCTCACCTAGATTTCCAAGGATCAGGGTGGCAGGTGCTGAGAGCCTGGGGAGGAGGTGGGTCAGGTGAGCAGCCAGCATTAATTCCAGCATCGCCCTCATTATTATTCAAATTTATTCACATCCTTGCGGATTTCTCTAGTGCAGCTCCATGCTGCAAACTCTCCATGCAAACTCTCCACACTCACGTTCCTCCTTCCCACAGCCCCCGGAGCCCAAGTCCAGGGCTTGGGAATGGGGTGGTCAGTGAGCCCTAGCTCAGAGGCAGCATTTGTATTCATAGTTGGAGACTTTCCTGCGTGGACCCTGGTCCCTTGTGGAAGTCTCCAGGGGACAGTGAGCGTTTGGTTGTCTGTCCATTCTCAACGAGCAGGAGGCTGACCCTGCGGCAGGAGGGAGGCACCTTGGTGTCAGAGGCAGATGGGGATCTTGCCAGCACGAGGAGTGACGTGACCTTGGGCATGTCATTTTCCAATGCGGGCCTCCACTTGTTCCCCTGTGCAATGACGAGCCTGGACTAAGGTCTGCAAAGATTCCTTTCTGCTGCGATACTAAGACCACAGATTTAGAAGACGGTCAGACCTAGGTTCACATTACACTTCTGCCACTTCCTAACTGCGTGACCTTGGCCAAGTTACTCTTTAACCTTCATTTTTTTCCTTATTGGTGAATTGGGGCATGGTGATGCCTACCTTGCGGATTGTTATGAAAGTAAAATGGGATTGTTGTCGTTTTTGTGGGCTCTCAAGTCAATTCTGATTCATAGCAATCCCATAGGAGAAAGTAGAACTGCCCCCTGGGTTTTCCAAGGCTATCATCTTTACAGGAGCAGATTGCCAGGTCTTTTCTCCCACAGTGCCACTGATGGCTTCAAACCTCTGACCTTTAGGTTCGCAGCAGAGCGCTTAACGCCTGTGCCACAAGGGTTCCCCTCAGCGCTGCTTACCTCCAGTTTATTGTGATAAGGCATGCACCCACTAAATGGTAGTAGCTACATCACTGTTTGTCCTGAGCAGTTAGACAACTGGAGAACCACTGGAAAGCTGAGCAGACAGATGAGAAATAAGGTAGCATCTATTTTCTTGGGGATTTTGAAGCAAAATTTCCTCTTGGTTTAGGCCTGCTTGGAGTAGTTTAGTCTGGAGACAGGGAGATGAAAGAAGTGTTCTTCCAAAGAATCCAGAGGAGAGGGCATGAAAGGTGTCTTGGGAATTAAACTGATTGGAAAGGCAGCCTATATCCTGAGCCTGTCAAAAGTCGCAGGCAATGTTCCGTGACCCCAAAACAGTCCCTGCAACCGAGACAGCAGATAGAGTCCAGAGTCCAGATGTCCTGCTCATGATCAGGGGAAGCCCTAAGTCGGCCCCACCATATCCTGTTCTCTCTGACTCTGCACCCCTTTATACCTGTGCACTGGCCATTATCTAGGTGGGATGCTGCTCCCACCCCTCCCTCAGGAGTCAAACAGTCAACTCCTCTGTGAAGTCTTCCATGACTGCCTCGGTGCTTCAGGGACCTCTGTGCTCACTTGTCCCTTCTGTTATAATCTGGCCCACACTGCACTGCCCGCCCTCTGCCCTGACCCAGTGGGAAGTCCTGGAGTCTGGACTGTGCCACTTATGGCTCAAGCCCCATCACCCAGCACAGGGCCTGGCTGCGAGGCCCACAGCAGGAGCTCTGAATAAGTCTGTTGTTTGATGGAGTGCACGTGAGCAAATGCCCACGTGAAGCGTCCTGCCTCCTTGTGAAAGCCCCATCAAGAAAAGGAGGCCGAGCCTGGTCTCCTCATCCCAGGTCTGGCTCACAGACCCCAGAAGAGGCAGAGATAGGGCCGGACAGTCAGTGGGGCTACGCTTTCACAGAGAACAGTGCTGGGGCAGGCTTGGAGTCAGTCCTGGAAGGCTCCCTGAAGGAGGGAATGCAAAGTAGAGCTGGGAAGGGGAGGAGAAACAGAACTCTAGAAGGTTCTGATGCATGGTGGTGGCGGTGATGACGGGACATGGGAGAGCTGAGGAGAAAGACTAGAAAGTGAGCAAGGATCGAGGCAGCAGCAGCGGGCAGGGCACAGCAGCTCTTTTCAACAGGGAGGGTAGAGATGTCCTGGTGTCACAACAAAAAGGATTGGGGGCACGGGGAGGTATTTGGCAAGTCCTGAGTGTTAAGAAGATGCCAAGAACCCAGGTGCTGTTGTTAGCTGCCATAGAGATGGCTCATGGCTCAGGGTGACCCCATGCACGACAGAACGAAACACTGCCTGGTTTTGTACCCACCACCATTGGTTGCGGATGGGACTGTTGTGATCCATAAGGTTTTCATTGGCCGATTTTAAGAAGTAGATCACCAGGCCTTTCTTCCTAGTCTTTCTTAGTCTAGAAGCTCCTCTGAAACATGTTCAGCATCATGACACCATGCAAGCCTCCACTGACAGACGGGTGGTGACTGCGCATGAGGTACATTGGCCGGGAATTGAGGCTGGGCCTGCAGCATGGAAGGGATAATTCTACCACTGAACCACCACAGCCCTCATAAAAACCCAGTACCAGTGGCCTCACAAGTGCGAGACACACAAATCCGAGCACACGCCCGCCCCGGGGTTCCAACCACGGAGCCTTCTTCCATCCACGGCGCAGAGCAGCATCTGCGTTGAAACGGGGAGTGAGATTTCGGTCCCATCCCTACTCCTGCACCCAAGTCCAGGAAACCAAACCAGCGCCAAACAGATATGCAGGGAAACAGCTCACTGCAGAGCGGGGCTGGGGGGAAACCAGGTGGGAGGAGCATCAGGAAAAGCCTGACCACAGACGGAAAGGGAAAACAGTCCAGCCTCCCATCGCAGTGTCAAATAAACGGTCTCCTCGCCTCGGCAGCTCCAGTCCGAAGCCAGCTCGGTTCAGCATGGGTGTTTTTAAATGAATTCCCACCTGCTTTGATCTCTCTCCCTCCCGGTCTTCAGACATCATCACAGATGTGGTGAACTCTT